AATGTTGAAAAAATGTTCGAGAAAGTTTATTCTCAATTGAAAAATATAAGTTAGAAACGCCATACGACAGATAGAGAAAACTATGTAAAAAATAAATATAACAAGGAATGAAGGTATAGATATTATGATCTTTATGAATACCTTAAAATTCTAATAATTGCCATTTGAAAATACAAATTATTAAARGGTAATTTGTGTGGGGGATTAGCATGCTTGGCAAATCATTCTATACTTTCATTTCAAATAAAAATTAACGACTATTGAAATTAAATACAAATGTATGATTTATTATTATTATAAATATTCATTATTATTTAAACATAAATGTTAAACTAAAATTAAAGGCGTTTGCTTAATTCTTGTTCTTGTAGCATTTTAATTAACTTACTAAATATATATCGTACAAAAACTGTTGCAACATATATTGAAAACAATTCACCAGATAAAACTATATTCAACAYATATTGGCCGTATCAATAAAATGTTTATGACGTACGAAATGTCGTAAATGTAAATCAATAAGTAAAATAATACATTTTTTTAATATAAACAGATTTCTACTTAACTTAATTGTATTGGTAATCTATTTTGTCATGATTTTCAAATATTTCTGAACTAATTGATACAATGAAATCTATTGATTAAGTGAAAATATCTTTAAATCAAATTTTCTTTAACTTGGAGATAATTATAGCTGTATTAATGCATAATATTTATTATAATATTCATATTATAAATTATTATTTTTTTTTTTATGATAAAATATAATATCCGTGGTCTGTCTCAACCATTTAAATACCTAATCGATTTTATTTGTAATTAGGTATATTAAGTGGATAAATACGTAGTAATGTATAAATATTTACGTAATATTATCACATGAATGTCTTCAACTGAAACATCCATCCAATTATTCCAATTTATAAAACAAAAACGTTATTTTGGTCGAATATAATGTTGGATTATTGAACTATGACACTATTATAATGTATACTACCTATCACATTATTAAATATTAATGAATATCAAAGTATTAAAATGTTGTATACCTATACGTATATTATATATTATTATATTACCAAAAAAAAAAAATAACGTGAAATGTATATCTCATCATTACCATAGCTTTATTTTTTGTAAATACCTATATGCATATTAGTATAATTACGTTAATAAGTGATAACTATACGAATTGTGAAATGGATATTATCAAACACTTAAATATTACGGTTTTATGGTTATTATTAAATATTATATTATAATTTCATTGATTATATTTATAGCGATTTTTGTATACGACTGGGCCAAGTCCCGATGTACGTACACACGTGCTTTACACAGACCAGGGACGGCCAAACTGTCGATCTCAGACCATCTAAAAATAGTTATTCCATTATTACAACTTACAGTTACTAAACATTTAGTAAATACAACAACATATATATTTCGGACTAACCTGTACCTATGTATAAAATTGCAATTTCTCACATAAAAGTTGTATAAAAGCTGAATAATACCGCTAACTACTCTTTCTGATTATCATTTAAACTGTTTAAAGCATC